AAGTGGTGTATCTATGCTCACGGTGTCGACCATTATTTCTTCGTTAGAGAGCACAAGGTCCAAAACAGATGGTGTGTCACCCGTTCAGAATCGCTTGGGAGAGGTGACATGGTTGTACAGAGATACATCGGCGTTCAGCTCTTGCAAACCAGCTTTGAATTTTTTGCTGTGTGATGTTGGAACTTCGATTGCGTGCATATGGAAGGCCTGCACCGGAAAGACGTGATTGTATGGTCGTGACAGGACTCGTTTCATCGCAGAAGCTAGGCATTGATCCATTTCCAATGTGGATATTGGATGGCGGTAAACTATTGCTAGTAAACACACATCACCACATCTTAGGTGTATACCACGCCAAAGGGAATTGACGAATTTGTTTTTGGGTCCTCAATAACATCAAAGTGCAGGTCGTATCGATACTACAGGAGGACTCCCCTCCTCTGCTAGGTCGATCATTTCGTATGGAAGTTATGCCGGTTAGTGTAATCTCAGCATCCGTGATCTCCGTGGTCAGCCATGTTTCGGTAACCATAACTAGGTCCCAAGGCGTGGAGACCTGACGAATACGAAGTTCAGTTATCTTACTGGGAAGACCTTGTGCATGAGTCTACACTCAGATGAGGGTGTCGGTGGTCAGAAGCGTGTTTGTGAATGCTGATTTCCGATGGGGGTCTATGTCGACCCTTGAAGAGTCGGCTGCCGATCGATATTTGTAGGACCGGGGAAGCAGGCCCTAGGGCCAGTTTAGCTTGTTTGCTAGAGCTCTCAGCGCCAACAAAAGGGTGAACATCCTTTCTTCCTTCAGCTACTAGTGTGTTCGGACATCTTCCACGTTTTGAGCTACACGGTGACAGAATTGTATTAGTAAGTTGCTTGCTCATTGTTACATCGTCTATCTGTGGTCCGGTGCCTATCGCCTTTATACGTATTACGGATGGCTGCAAGTTGCGCTTTATGTACCACCTTTTGATCACATGTTCTGCCATCAGTTCGGAGTGCAGTGATACTTTCAGCACTCGGGACCACATCCTTTGTAGTTAGGTGATAGCTGCAACCTTGGTGTCCAATTAGCGACAACATTTTCTACTTAGAGTACTTCACGAATAAAACGCCATTCATTCCAGTCGTGTGCTTTGACTAGCTCGCTTAGTGACTGATGCTCGGGAACAACGTGAAAAAGGATAGATTTTGCGTCTTGTTGTTTGTGGAAGTCATCCGGATTTCGTTTGCGTTTCTGGCGTACGCTCCAAGGAGCATCTGTAGTTATTCGAACAGTGCATGTGGTTGTACGGAGGCCAATGGCTGACAAGAGAACTGTCTCTGTATCATTGACTTAACGCGGTTCACCATAGTGTACGGAGTTTGGGTGACGGACCAGACGCATCATACTGACTGTTTTATCTTGAACCTCTAGTAGTTGACACAGTGAGTCCCACTGTTTGTTGTCGTCTAGTATGTTATCTGGTATGGAGTTCGCCCCGGATACAGTCACTAGAGCATATAACATTTAGAGAATTATGATAGTGTTTCATGTTCTCCTATTTGGGGAGATCAGTGTCTGCTTCCTTTAGTTGGACGAATGATGGTGTGTTGAGTCCCGTGGTGGTATTGGCAGTAGTAACTCGTTTGGCAGCAGGTGGTGTTGCAACGGGAGGTGAGTGCGTCATATGGGTAGCAACAACGGACGCGTAGGTTGTCGGCCATCTAACACTGTTTAGCGTGGCGGGTGATTCTGCTAAAGTAGGTGTGGTGAGCGCATCTTTATGAGCAGACGTTAGTGTCGGGGTGGCTAAACCTGGATCGTTACTCTTACACTGTGCTGAATTGGAGCTTGATGTTTAGCATCGAGTTCGAGGCACTGATTTGTCTGGTTCATGTGGAATAGCTTTCGCGACTGCTGCCTGCAATACGATCTTTGTCAGCCTATGGTACTTCTGCGCCAACAAAGTTATACATCTGGCGAGTGGAAGAGACGTACACCCAGCGAAGAAGCAGAAAGAATCAGTCGTACTATTAAGCTATTTTAGCTGGCTGAGTCTAAGACGAGCACATCACGAATGGAACTATTTTTGGAAGTGTCTGCATTCTATTCCAAATCGCACAAGTTTTACACCGCTGTCTACGCCACAACTAATGTTTATTTCGGAAGCTTTGGGCTTAGCTTACTGTGAACAACCAGTACGTGCAGTTGTGACTGTCAGATCTGCAGAAGCCGCTCGTTGTAACGTCTGCACTGGTATGCTGTTTCCGAACGCCGTCGGTCAAGCTGGTGGTCTGGCAGACACCTGTTCGATTACCGTAGAACGAATCCAAGATGGCGGACACAGACAGCAGTTGGCTCAGTCAGTGAGATCTCCGACAGTAGCAGAAGCATATGTATTAACTTCGCACATATGGAAAAATACACGAAAATCAAAGTATTGCTGCAAAATTCACACAGAGAAAACAAGTATAACACAGTATTTCCAAAGCAAATTGGCGTCCAACAGGGTAAAGCAAAAATCCGCGGCGTCCGTGGGTATGTTTTAGCCTTAAAGGGCTACCCGTTGTTGATGATCACCCTTCGGGCTTTAAGTCCTTAATCTCCATTTTTAATGCCTGTGAGGTGTTGAAACTGTAACCTAGTCTATCTGTTAGCGCACTATCTGAATTTTGGAGGTAAATTGCAGCGGTTTTATGAACCACAACGGGCAACTTATGGAAATCGGGTGTTACCCACCTGAAAACACGGCATTCCATTATCCGTTTGGATCTTGTTTGATTTCATCAGATAGCGATAGAGAAATTCGAACGCAGGAATATTGGTATGTCAACCAAAGACAATGCACTCGCATGTTGATTTCTGCTAGTTCGAAGCCAACCAGTTGCTCTTGGGGTCATGGAAGATGGCCAAACACTAATTAATGTTTTTACCAAAAAGGTTTTGAATTTTGTAAGGCATGTTTACATCAAAATGTTGTTTAAAATAATACATAATTGAAGTTTAGTAGCGACTCATTGGGTGTGAGTAATAAATTTCCTGCATTATTTCCTACACGGCATAAAATTTCTGTGCGATCGTCAGTGTTGTGCACTTGCTAATAATGCATTCATACTACAGTTCACGCAGTATTTTCACACATAATATTTACCTCAACCCATACGGGAGAAAACTTTTGCCCTGAACGAAACCTTCTTGTAATGGCATAGTTATGGACACCTGTAATTCTCCTAGTCTAACTACTTACTTTTGCGAATACCTCGATTTGTCGCTTCCATCCGGTATTTCCTGTGATAATAAGCTTTGCGCATCAGTCAGCATCTCATGCAATGTAACATAGACGACAACCATTAGAAATGTTTTATTTTATCAATGTAAGACCCCAGCTGGTTTTCGGTTCAAAAATTCCGAGAAGCACACAACTTGCCAAGAGTTTAAACATGCTGCATATGCATACTCTGGTTGCTACGTTGGCCTAATATGCTTCCACACAGAAGCACAATACCAGTGCCTACATCGAGTTGCATGTTTGAAGCTGACACGAGCCCGCCGAGTCCGAACCTTAAGATCCGAATTATTTCAAAGTGAAATAATTATTGTTTGCACTGTGTAATAAGGAAAAAGGCCACTCTTAAATATAATGGACAATGTAGATGGAAAGTAAAATTAACAGCTATTTTATAACCATATGTTATGTGCGCTGTGTGTTAATACTTTATCTTTATGTAAGCTATCTTGCAATTAGTTGTATGAAAGGAAAAAGATCGCATACCTATTTTAACTATTTCACCAGACACAATTTTAAGATAATATACTACACGCTCTCACGCTCATAGCCAGGGCATTGCAATCGCCCGCTACCTGCTTTTTACTTAGAATTTCTGTAGCTTCAACAGGAAAACTTTTGTATATCAGTTGCCTCCGTAACGATAGGTCGAGTTGGTTGTATAATTCTTTTAGTAGCAACTTTCAACTTGACTTCAGTTTTCAGCATCCCTAGATCACTTCTCCGCTCAAGAATCAGCTGCACTGAGATTCATCTTTGTTGGCTTCATGATTCTTACATTTATTATTGAAGTTGACTAAGTGTGAGAATCTATTGCAACTGATAATAATGCGATGACAACACAGTGAAAACCTCGGTTTAATGGGATACAATTAACGTTCAGCATTTGATTAGAGGTCAAAAGCCTTTAATTTTTAACTAAATTTCCTAACATTTCAATTAGCAAGAACTTTGAGGATATCATTTCTACATGGAGGCACCTGAGGGGTTTTAAAAAAACACTAACAGAAATGTAAATTACCCTCATCGGAACTAGTGACAGTCTGCATAAACCAGATATCTCTGTATTGTATAGGCCTACACCGAGCATTGAGTTACGTGGTCAATGTTCCTAATCGCATAACGTAACAAGAGCATGTTTGCGACTGACCTGTTTTGGAAAAACAGAACGGTAGGGCTGCAAATACCTAGTGATGGCGACTAAATGCTTGTATTACCAGCAGCAAAGCTAATGGAAACTCACTCAAATAACCTTAGTGATCTCGTGACTTTCGTAAGCACCCAAACAATTAAAAATACCAGACGGTAGTTGGCGTCCTATCTAGGAAATTAGTATAAGTGGGGAGCTGATTGTCTCTGCCTTATGGTGCTAACATTCACAACGTTATAAGACGGGAGGCGCTATGTTATTATAACCCTACTACTTACCCTTGACACAATTCATCAGACGCGTTACACAGCGGTGGGATCAAATTCCAGTGCATCTTAAGTGCATTGGAGTTTGTTGTTGAGTCCATATAGGAGTAAGTGACCATCTATCTTACTTTCCTTAGTGAACTAGACAGATAACCGTTTCTGCGCTTATTGGGTTGAATTAAAACTCCTTGAATCCACCAGTCAAACTATCAGTCCTGCGGCGTTTGATGTTTGTCTGTCTGAGTCTAATTGTGTGTAATTCTATGCACAAATTAATTGTTATCAAGTCAAAATCATAGCTCACCTTAAATAACTTACTTGGCAGTCAAAACAGTCTGTATGTTCCACAATATTATCCAAATAGATCACCAACTCCATATTTAGTGCCATATCTGTTCTGGTTTTGTACACAGTGTAGGTGAAGCAATTGTGAAATATCCGATCCCTCGTCTTAGTCCAGTAACCCATCCGGTCACACTCAGTGCCTCTTGTTAGAGTCCCTGTTTTGTACAAAATATAACACCTTTTTACTATGTCTTTCAGGGAATGACCTAGCTCCTTGGCGTCGATTTCCTCGGGAAGGTTTGACATGTAGGCATCCATGGTCCAAAGCGTACTCAAGTATCGTCTCTGTTCCATTGGCACATGTGAGCTCATTCTGACGATGCCGTCGAAGTACATGTCGACCGGTACCGCACCTGCGGATTTCAAACGACGAATATCTCTGGTTGAAAATGGCCGTAAGTTGCAAATTGTCACCGAAGGGAATGAACGCGGAGAATCATAAAGCTTTTTTGGTTGGTGGATTACGTCAAATTCCAGGTATTGATTTATAATGAATGTCAGACATATGATACAGCCCACAAAGAAAACCAGGACAAAAACTATCCACAGAAGCCGCCGCTTGGTGTCGCTGGTACTCACGATTCGCGGCACTCCACGAAGAGAAGTGGTTTCACAAAATTGTCTGAACTGATATCGGATTTGGGCCAACAGATTCCGGTCCTCCCGGGTTTCACATTCGGTTATATGCAAGTGAGAATGTGGCACTGCATTCAGTTTGTTGATTGTGGACACGGTCCCTGATTTAGCATACTTGGTTCCTTCCATCAGCAATGAATCGGTGTGTGGATGCTTACCAAAGCTGCAGTCCTCATGGAAATTCCTTGAAGTATTCTTTACGAGGTTGCGTATATAGGGAATCAATAGAAATAAATTTGCTGTTTAAAGTTGGTACCGATTACGGTTCTTGTGTCACTATCACGGTGCCACAAGTTTGGTTCTATCAAAAATAAAAGATAGCAATATAGACATTTATAAAAAGCAGTAGCGCTGAATGATTTATGAGCCTATGAGCAACTTCAAGGAACTGTTTAATGTAAAGGGGTACAAAGCGTGGCTTCTACTCATATAGTTAAATCGGCTTATTTAACCTGCAACTGCATCAGTTTTAGATAAAGTTGAACATGATCCAAGCAATAGCAACTGAATATCAATTAAACCCTAAACGTAGTGAAATCTTGAAAAGGAAACAATGTTGGTTATAAAAATAGGAGTCAATGAAGGCCATCGTTTCTGATATGTTGGCGTGCTATTTAGAAAATGAAAACATTAATAATAGTCGGTGCAAGCGAACATATGTTTTAAATAATTCTTCTTCAGGCTTGTTCAATTGTATGTGGAATAAAACAAAAGGTTTGACAAACTTAAGTTTTGGTAAGACAAATTCAGTTCAAAGTCACGTAACTTTTTCCACATGTAATTGTAAAAGACTGAAGATGAATTATTGAAAACAATGTTCGCTTGCATCCATTTTAATCATAAAATGGGATTTTTTATTACTGTGAAACATTATTGCTCTCGAGCAATACAACTTCTTTTGACAGCGATCGGGCACAGTGTATAGATTAATCACATTTATTTATTGGATGGAGTCAGGTGAGGCTGGAGTGGGTGTTGATATGATCTATCTGGATTTTAGAACGTATTCCGTCGTCTACTTGATCGTACACTCCTTTCTAAACACCCGTAATGCGGTAATGGTCACGCTACCTCGAACTAGATAATCAGCTTTCTCCTTTAACAAATATTATTGATCAAAAGCCGGAGTTCATTACCTGACCTCATACCAATCGAATATGGTGTGCCCGAGGGCTCAGTTCTAGGGCCACAACTACTATTAGTATTCACCAATGATATTGTATGTAAAAACGCTTCACATCACCGGCTGCTTGCTGACGATCACAAGATATGGAGCCGGATTCAGGTGGATGCCCATCAGAATTTACCTCAGTTCGATTAAGCTATGATACATGAGTGGTCAAACCGAAATCTTTTACGTTTCAACGTGGACAAATGCAAGGTAATCTCCATACGAGAGCAGAGTACCTAATTCTACAAGCTAGAAACGTTAGTATTGCAGCGATCATCCGTTGAACGCGACCTTGGTATACTTGTTCTGGATAACTTAGGTTGTTACAAGCAATTCGCAAATGTATCGAAAAATGGTGACCAATGCGTCGGTCTGTGGCAATTGGCTCCCGAACAAATATACATCTCTATTTCACGACAAGTGCCCAGTGAGTACGTGCACCTCAATGTCGAATATGCACTATAAGCCTGGCAGCCATGGCTGAAGCTTAGCCACACTGCACAGGACCAGCATCAGTGACAGGTGTAAAAATATTTCATTGGAATACGCAACCTATCATACGAACAAATACAGCTACGTTTAATACAGCGGACGGCATCGCCGAATACATGTCGAGCGGATAATTGCATACCTTAGTTTACACAATCCAAATCATGTATGTCGCTATTTAATGGAACTCAGCAGTAACAAATGCATTAGGTCATTCTTTGGAACCAGCAGAACATTATATTCTTCTGGAGTAACGTACAAATTGCTTTTCTACTTGCGTTTGTCACTCGTGGAGTACTTTCCATAAATAGGTCTTTTTTGTCCCTACATCAGCCATAATTAGAAAATTGAACGGCACACTCAGCCAGTTAGCTTTCCTTAGTTAGAGGTATCTCGCCGTTCAAATTCCAGGAAACACTCGGCATTTATTGCTTGTCGCCAGTTGGAGCTGTCAAACGAGTGGAGGTGCAGGAATACTGCACCAAAAGCATTATTTCCATTCTTTTAGCAGTGAAAGTACTGACTACATTTTTCATTTTGAAGTTTTCGCTACCCACCAAATCACCTAACGAGGTTTGTGAGGCTGTGCTTGTTAACCCGTATAACTTCGCTGTTAAGTGTTCAATATTAACGAACATAATCCGGGTCATGTTGGAGAAAATTGTTGCATCCGCCTATAATATTCTCTTGTCATATCTCAACCTCATCAGCGGAAAGCAAGAAATCAGGGGCAATAACTATTACCAAGTCTTTGGTAAGCGCCAGTAATAAGGGCGGTCCCAACACCACTCCTTGTATAATACCGCACATCTTCTCAATCTGGTTGTATCGTGATTACTTAACAGGCACTTGAATATACAGTTGACGAATACACTGGAGATAAACTTATGAACAGGATCCTTGATACCATAGCACATTAGCCCTTGACACTGCATGTGGTAATCCAGGTAGTCAAAAGCTTTGGAAACGTCGATTAAGGTCCCAGCATCGGCCTCTTCCGTCCAATTACTGCGTAAAATCAGCATGTTGTTGGCGAGTAACCGGTGTTAACAGAAAAGCTGGCACTCTAGTGTAAAGAGGCTCACGTTTCCAAGCAGTCTACTAAGACCTCTGCGACAACCATTCCCATCACCTACACATACACAGGGAGTAGAGTCACTGGATGATAGTTATATGGATCTGAACAGATACCACCTTTAAAAATTGGAATAAAGATGCCACTCTTCCACATGATGGGACTTGTTTTTCATCCAAGTATACTAGGTAGGACCACGACAAGAGCTTAGCTAGCTTAATAGACGTAGTCTTTAGTGCGTTCGGATAAATTTTGTCGGCCAAGTGAGCTACGGTGGTCCAATGAAAAAACTTCTTCAGTACAGTTGCTGGGTTTAAATTACATAAATAAACCCTATTATCGGTAAGATATATTAGGGTTTTTGTTAGGTAAATGAAGCGAGTTTGAGGTTGCGGACGCATTGTAGTCACAAGTCATTGGCTGCTTCGTTGGTGCTTTGTATACTGCCGGCTGTTGTGAAGAGTTGTGGAATGCTGCGCTTTAATTTGAGAAGGCTGTTGACATGCCTATGGAATATTTTGTTGTTGCCAGCATCCTCCTAGTTATGCACTGTAGATAATTTACGTTGTCCACAGGAACAAGTGTTGTTTCAATATTTGCTGTTGGTCAGGAAGTTGCCCTAAGTCACTGATTCTGCATTAGCATTGTAGGCGTACCATGCAGAGTTTCCTTTTACCCGAAACTTTTGAGTCATGCTTCTGAGAACTGACGGCACTTTTGCGGAACGAAGCGGCTTGGTTTCCGATGCTCGGTTGATCATGTAGCTGAGTCTATACAAAGGTTGGCACGGCGACTTAGGTTCCAGAACTTACAATTGAATACCTTGGCAAGTTCCTTCAGGGTTTTAGATAAGTTAATTCCGTATATTTCAATGGACGATCTGTGTAGCAAACATAGATAAATGTTATGACTATATGGTCGCTGAGACCTAATGGAATCACCAGAGATACATGATTTTGGTCCCGTTGCAATACAAACAGTTCTTTGGCTGCTAGGAACATTGTGGGCGATGTGACACTGTTGATTAAGTACATAGAAAATCACAAAACGTGAACACAAGGGGTGCCAATCATTTATTGAAATAGGACCTCTTGCTTTCAGATTAGTAAACAAAGTTCAGGCCACCAGTTTACATCCACCAAACGAAATGTCCACAGCGCTGTGTTGTACGATTTACGTTTTGTGATCCCCTCAATAAGACTGGTGATTACCGATGTAGCGTCCATAGTGCTCCATTTGCCTATCGTTGCTTTTTGCCGAGCGCTGGCATGTTAAGAGTCGGAGTAATTGCTACTGATTAAGTTATAAAATGCAGCTACATGTGTACTACCAGTTTATTGTGTATTGACACAAACTGCGATAGAATGCTGTTGGCCATCCATTCAGAAGTGATGCATACTTTTAGACGATTTACAATACCTAATAAAGACAAGATATCTGACGCATGATAGACGAGTATATGTAGCGGACGATGAAGCGCGTATTTACGTGTCAAGGTAAATGACGGCGTTTAGGAAGAAATCGATTCGCTCAAGTCACATGCGGGGACGAATTATCCGGCTCGGTCATGTGCAACTGATTACATAGTTTTCTGTTCCGCCGGGAAATTAAAAGTAACAAGTAGGTTACTAAACCAAACAAAATCCAGTGGGCCACGGTTCATGTACTAAGGATTAGACAACTCAAAAGAGCGAATGCAGCTTTGACTAATTTAAGGAGAATACTGAAATAATTTGCCCAGAAGAAAAGCGTTTTAACGTAGTCCGTTTGGCTGCGGTGCGCACTTGATTTTAAACATGTGTGATAAACCAAAGGAAAGTTTAGATATACATATTTCGGTTTTCATATTCCAAGGCAATCATCAATAACGGTTAGTAAACCGTTTAAACGCAATCGCCCTTAGCTTGTACAGAATGCAATCCATTACTTGGCATCCAATAATTTCTGGTCTGCCATGCAGCTTGACTGCGCTTATAACTAGTTTACCAGGGCTTAACAGTATGTTTAGTGATTCTAAAAATTTACCAAGCTACTGTTGTGACCAAATGAGCAAGTCTCCTTAAAACAACCATCAGGTTAATCTCATTATCAACATGCAGTACCGATTTCGTGTTGTTATGCAAAAGTTGTCGGACAATTTAACATGAAGGCATAGAGTGGTAATTGAAG